TCACCTAACAGGGAAAGTGATCTCAGTTAATTCTGCTGGAGTCGCTACTTCCTTTGTGACTTGAATGCTACTTTCCCGAGGAAGGTGGAGTAGAATTCAAATTTGATTTTTAGCGTCATGATCGAGGGCCTCTCTCAGGTACCTGTGGGAACCATACTTCCTGTCCACTCTTGGCAAAAGATGCAGCTCCTTCGCACCCAGAGCACCGGGGCTTCCTCTCCTGCCCTTGCCCAGCCCCTTCTGGAGCCTCCATTAGTAGAGGGGTTACTTTCAAGGCCATGGAGTCAGACTCTGAGTTTGAATCCTGATTCTGCTTCTTGATAGAAATAGGATTTTTAAAGACTATCTTGTTTCTTCATCCAAAAAATGGAATTAGAGCGCTGTGTACGTTTGCTAGGGGCTGTAACAAAACGTCATAGGCCAAGCGGCTAAAACAACAGAAATGTATTGTCTCACAGCTCTGGAGGCTGGAAGTCCAAGGTCAAGGTGTGGGCAGGGTTGGTGTCCTCTGAGGCCCCTCTTCTTGGCTTGCGGGCGGCTGTCTTCTCCCTGATGTCCTCTCGTGGTCTTCCCTCTGTGTGAACACACCCCTAGCATCTCTGTGTGTGCCCAAATGGCCTCTTCTCATAAGGACAGTGGTCAGATTGGATTAGGGCCCACCCTAGTGACCCCATTTTAATTTAATTACCTCTTTAAAGGCCCTATCTCCAATTGCAGACACATACTAAGGTCCTGGGGATTAGGGCTTCAACATGTGAATGTTTTGAGGGGGAGGTGGGGACACAGTCCAGCCCATAACAAGTACCTACATCACAGGGTTCTTCTAACTGTGACAAGGGGTGCACATGCTCAGTGAATCATGACGTGCCCCAGTGCTCTCTGGGACGGCCGGCACGCTGACAGGGAGCACATCTACCTGGGCCCTCCCTGCCCTGCCCTGGTGGAGCCCCCAGAACTAGCTGGCCCCCCTGGAGCACCTCCACGGACAGCATTCTGAGGAAGAGCTGTACTTAGTCCCACGGGATTGTGAGGCCACGGGCTCTGTCAGGGAAATGACGCCAAGTGGCCAAGTCACAGGACATTTGGTCCATGGACCACACATAACAGATACGCCAATGTCACAGGCGGGGCCCAGATGGGTTCCCTCGGTGAGGGAGTTTGAAAACCAGTGTATCTAACACCCTGCACCAGTGGTTGTTGAGCCCCTGGAGGGCAAGGGTCACCGTCTGCTAAGCGACCAGTGAGAAAGCCAGCTCCTGAGTGGGGTCCTAGAGTGGGCCTGGTTTTTCTGGCCTCCCTTCAGGGACGAACTCAGGCCTCCAGCAGCAACAACCTTGGACCCGGAAAGTGTGCGTAGAGCTTTGCATAGAGCAGGGAGCTGTCTGGGGATGTGGTGAACTTGAACGTGGCTGGGGTAAGGGTTTTGATCCCCACCAGGTTTACCTACCCCCCACCCTTGCCTATAGAACCAACTTGGTCAGTGCTGCTGGCAGAGAAAGTGGGGCAGCCTCAGCCTTCCCTCCCTTCCCTGCCAGCCACGCCCAGGCTCCGAAGAGAAGGGAGGCCCAGCCAGACGCACTCTTCTTGGTGTTGGGCAGGGCCTCGGCCCTGAGCACCTCACACAGACCAGGGGCCAGAAGTGCCCCTTTTCCTTTCTTCCTTTACCTTGGAGCATTTTCACTGCCCAGGGTGTGGCCTGGCATTCAAGGCCCTGAGGGAGCAGCACTGGGCGCTCGCACAGGCAGCCATCATTACAGAGGGCTGGTGGCCGCATTACCAGTGACCGGGGAGAAGGGCGGAGCTCTGAGAGCCAAGCTCACAGCGGACAAGATGGGAAGGAACAGAGGGCCGGGACCAGCGTGGCGAGGTGGCAGAGCGCTGCGCTGCGGGCCTAGCTCTGCTCGTCAGTTGTTCGCAGGGTTGTCGGGGCCGGACCCCTCCCACACACACCCCTGCTTCCTGTTGACTGAGCGGGTTGAAGCGGGTGGTCTGTTAAGTGCTGAGGATATAAAGTTTGATGATCTACAGCTTCGCCAAGTCAGGAACAGACAAGGCAGAGGAAGAAGACGGGGACTGGACCTCAGCTGGCCCGCAGACCCCTAGCCGAGAGCTCGCTCTCAGTCCTCCATGTGACTGTCTCCTGAGCCCTTTTTGTAATCTAGCAGTGATGTCCTATGACATTCGAGGAACATTCATGCCACATCCTGGAGAGAAATTCCAGAAGCACTGACCATGGACCAAGGCAGTGTAACGGGTCGGCTCAGAGTGGGGTGCTTCCTGCCACATCCCCAAACCACAGGAACTGATCTGGAAGATAGGATGATAATGAAGAATTGAATATGGCTTCACCACATGCGGTGGATGGACATTTGAATTCCTATTTGCTCATATTTGGTATACGTGGGGCTACCATCACAGCACACAGAACAGTGAAATCAGGACGGTGACGGCTGAAGGGCTGTCTTGCTTCTGTACCCCAAGTTTGTTCAAGAGCACCCCAGAGTGAGACTGGATGAGACCACATTTTGACAAAAGCTAAGCTGCTTTTTTCTTGCTTCATGAACTCAACACTCATGCTTTTCTGCAAGCAGGGAAAGTAATCCATTTTGCTTTGTGAGAAGGAACAAAACAAATCAAGCCTTCTTCCCATTCAGCTTCTGTAGAACCCCCTCTCATTACTAAGGGTGGTCGTACTTCCAAGATGTGTCACTTTTAACATCAAGAAATGAGTCCACCAGGAGAGGGGTGATGCCGCATGGACACTTTCTGAGGATGCTCCGATATTGGTAATAAACCCGGCACAGACTATCAAGATGACTGCAAATTCCCTGCCCTCCAGAAACCTACAGCCTAAATCACGTGACTCCTAAGGGACCCCCCCCCATTCTCCTCTCAGCCTTGACCCAACACAGAACACGAACACAGGAGGATCAGAAAGGTTAGCATAACCACCGTGACGCGGTCACAGAGCCCACATGGCCCCAGCAGAGGCTGGTGGAAATGCCCTGTGTGTACAAAGGACAGAGCAAGACACACATAAATACTGTATTCAGGACTTTCCAGCAAAGTGAGAGGAAGGTCGTCAGGTGTTTTCAGAACTGGCTTCTGTGGAGAAATGGGGATTGTTTCTCCCCTGTTTGTTTTCCATCTTGGTTGTTATTGTTACAAAAGCAACACAAACTCATTGTAACAGTTAACCACCCAGATTTTTCCTAAGCTTCTGGCAGCTCTGGTCTTTGTTATCACACTCGAATGTTCTGCAAGCTTCAGGCTAGTGATCTCCTTGAAATGTTGGAAGGGAGGGGCCGTGTGGGATTGGCGAGGAAGGACAGATGCAGGGGGGTATAAAGTGACAGAGGACTTTGACCCATCACTGAGGTTTGGAGAGGAGTGGAGAGGTGAGCAGGGACTGGGGAAGGACAGACAGAAGGCTGGAGCTCCCGGCCAGTTTAATTCGTTTCTTGATGAATGGGGCTCCTGGATCTGACCTTTGAGCTAAAGAGAGAAAACACCAGGTAACCTTGATTTCAGCCTGGAAGATCGCCATCGGGGAGGTGTGCCCTGGTGTGAGGGTGGGACATTTGGTTAGGGGATGGTTGCCAGTGGGGTGGTATTCAGGACTCCAGCTGGATTTAGCTGCATTGAGTTCTGAAATCTGGGGAGACAGGAAAAGCAAGAGGTGCTAGCTGGACTGCTTGGACGAGCCGGGGTGACGGGGAGCCTCGCTTCCCCTGATGACACCTGACTAATGATCGCCTGCTCGTGGATGGATTTAGAGACTCTGGTCACCAGTCATTGTGTTTAATTTGATTAAGTTACAGATATCAAATGGGCAGTGTTATAAATAAAATTGCTCCATGGTGATTCAGGTGTCACTTGAGATCAGGCAGAGTCACTTGCTCGTTGAGGAGAAATGTGGGGAATGATGTGCAGAGGCCTTGGAAAGCTCACCAGGCCAGGGAGCGGGAAGGGCATCCCCAAAGCGCAGGTGACGCTGCTCTGTCCCGTGGCAGGTGGAAGCGGAGGAAGGACAGTGTTTCAGCATCAGGAGTTCAGAGCAGTGGCTGGATGGAGGAAGCAACAAGGCTTGTGGGGAGACTGGGAGTGACCGGAATGAACAAGAAAGGCAGCCAGAGAAGCAGACAGGCTGTCCCAGTGTCCTCGACCAGGGCAGCCTTGGGGAGTGGATGGGGAGACCCTGAATGAAAGAAGATCCGTTTAAGGGCTCCTTGGGGCCTTGAGTGAACTGATGAGAAGGCAAAGGGTGACTGTGCAGCTTGGGACAGTGAGCGAGCTGTTGGTCTTCACGACTGCTGACCCCTCCTCTAGCTTCTCTGAGAGCACAGGCTGCCGGTGACAAGGGACACCAACAAGGATCTCCATGAGCTTATCTGATTTTTTTAAAATTTATTTTTTATTGAAGTGTAGTTGATTTACAATGTTAGTTTCAGGTGTACAGCAAAGCAGTTCAGTTATGCGTATACACACATCTATATACATATATATATATATATATATATATATATATTTCCAGATTCTTTCCCATTGTAGCTTATTGCATGAAATTCAGTACAGCTCCCTGTGCTCTACAACAGGTCCTTGTTGTTTATCTATTTTATATACAGTAGTGTGTGCCATGAGCTTATGGGTTCTTAAAAGAGAACCCAGGTGGTCCCACCCACAGCAGATTTGAGGAGCCACCACAGTGGTCCAAGCTCTCCATCCCCTCGGCCGAGCACGTCAGCCTCAGCCTTGCTCTTGGGCTGAGGATCTCCAGAAGATCTGGTCTGGGTTGTCGACCAGACCACAAAACTCGATCTCATAAGCCGTCAGCTGGGGGAACAGCCGGGACCTCCACATTCGGGTCCTGATTCTGTGTTTCTTTCTCCCTCCACCTTTAGATCGCGGTGTGTGTGGGCGACTCCTCGGCTGGCAGCCCTGCTGTGCCCGGCGGTCGAAGTCCAAGCTTTTGACTGTGTGGGTTTGTGTCTTTCCGGCAGGTGTCTCCTCTGTGACTTCCCTGATGTCCCTGGCTTGGGTGCTAGCCTCCTATCACAAGCTGCTGCGGGACTCCAGGGACGACAAGAAGAGTATGAGCTACAGAGGGGCCCTCATCCAACTCTTCTGGCGCCTCTTCACCATCTCATCCAGAGTTATCTCTTTTGCCCTCTTTGCTTCCATCTTCCAGCTCTACTTCGGGATCTTCGTGGTGGTTCACTGGTGCGCCATGGCCTTCTGGATCATCCATGGCGGGACAGACTTCTGCATGTCCAAGTGGGAGGAGATCCTCTTCAACATGGTGGTAGGGATTGTGTACATTTTCTGCTGGTTTAACGTCAAGGAAGGGCGGACTCGATATCGAATGTTTGCATATTACACGATAGTCCTGACTGAGAACGCTACCTTGACGTTCCTTTGGTATTTTTACAGAAACCCGGAGACCACTGACTTCTATGCGGTGCCAGCACTGTGCTGTGTCTTTCTGAGCTTTGTGGCTGGGATTGCACTGATGCTCTTATATTATGGCGTGCTGCACCCCATGGGGCCGCGAGTTAAGATTTTGGCCAGCTCCTGTTGTGCCGAGCTGCTCTGGGGCATCCCTTTGCCCCCCGATGTTGAGCCCATGGCGCCTCAGACCCCTGGGTACCGGGGGACCCAGGTCACGCCTACCAGAGCCGTAACGGAACAACAGGAGGATCTCACGGCTGACACTTGCTTGCCCGTTTTCCAAGTGAGACCCATGGGGCCCCCTACCCCGACGGGGCGTCCTTACCCCCCAGAAGGGCCCCTCATTAAGATTGATATGCCAAGAAAGAGATACCCAGCTTGGGATGCTCATTTTGTAGACAGGAGGTTGAGAAGGACTATTAACATTCTGCAGTATGTCACCCCCACCGCGGTAGGCATTCGGTACCGAGACGGACCGCTCCTTTACGAGTTGCTCCAGTATGAGTCTTCACTCTAAGAGCATCTTGACCCAAGTTGAGAAGGGGACCTTAAGTTTGGTTTGCGGTCAAGGCCGCTTGCAAGAAATAGAACCGTCCCTTCCCCCCAGTACACAGAACCACCACCACCACCACCACCACCACCACCAATGCTAACAAAAAAAAAAAAAGAAAATATAAGTCACAACCCCTTCAGATAAGCTTTCTTTCCAGTCGCTGTATGTATACAAAGATATTCTCTATGTTTTGTAAGTAAAAACAAAAAGAAAACCTTTCTTTTGTTTTTTACACATAAGAAACAGTATTGAAAAAAATCCCACACTATGGTTCATAGGGTGGAGAGGAGTTGTCTCCACTCCAAAAGGAAAACAAAGTTTTATACCTTACACCCAGTGTAGATCATTTACGGGATTGGTGCTGATTGAAAGAACAAAACAAAACAAAACAAACACAAACAAACAAACAAACAAACAAAACCTTCAACTGCCTTATGCCCTTAGGTGCTGAGTTTCATTAAGTACTGTCACGTTTTCTCATGCAAAACTCTCGGGTGATTTTCGCACCGGGAGAGGGAAAATTAAACAATCAAATGAAACAAATCTAAAAATGAAACAAAAACCAACCAACAAATAAAACACAAAGCAATCATTCTTCCTATCTGATTATTTGTATTGAAGAAAACAAATTACCAAAAGCTAACTCATAGAAACCCCTCCCCCCCTTTTTTTTCAGTTTCTCTCTTCCCTCTCCTGTCCCTGCCCCCAACTTATCAGCCCCTTTTAGGAGCCAAAGGGCCATTTGAAACTCAAATGGCTGGAAAAGCTCCTTGAAGGCTGACTATGTGCCATTTTAGCGTTCAAGTAGTAAGGATCACATTTGTTTCCTGGTGAAAAGCAAAACAGAGCAAAACAAAAAGCCACCCTAATAATTCGATAAGAACAGGAAATTCTAAAGCAAATTCAAGGAGATTTCCATATATGTAATCGAAAAGAATCAGTAATAATAAAACTCAGCATAGTAGCAAAAAGAACGACATCAATTTAAAGGCACAATACTTAATCAGTGACTGGGCAAAAACGATTTGTTCTGTCATTTTAAGGCCGTGAAAGGTATACATTTATCACATGTGATACTGTGTAAGGCCTCTTCTGTTTCCATTTGGTGGGAAGCCTTAAATTGATCTGGAAAGAATTCTTCATTTTTCATTTGTGCTTTTTAAAAATAGTAACACAAAGAGGAAAATTAGAATATAAAAAAATAAGTCAAAATTGTGATAACTGACCCATTTCAAAGACTGTTTGGTGCTTCTGTCTTTCACCATTGTGGTTGGCTGAAAGTCATTCAGCTCACTCGGTGCACCTGGGTTGAGTGGGAAATTCTGTGTGTGTGGTATGTGTGTGTGTGCGCGTGTGTCTGTGTGTGTGCCCACAGCACACCTTTATGTGTGTGCGCATGTGTGTCTGCTGCAAGGTCTTGCCAGAAATGTAGAAAACTGATGTAAGACAGACTCTGGGTATGGCTGAGGTGGAGTGTAAGGGGCTGGCGAGGGGGGACCAGGGAGGAGGGGATGCTTGACCGTGAGCCCCTGTCCGGTGACAAGACTCACACCAGCTTCATACTCTGGGTCTTCGAGGCCGTGTCATTTGGGTGAAGATTTGAGTCAATGATTTATTTTCTCATTGTACCAAGTTGAATTTCTGGAGGTGTTGCAAGTATGTTCAACCATTTTTTAAATGTTATTTTTCAAAGTATCACTCCTGTAAGGAATGTTCTGTTCTAGGCGTCGTTTCAATCCCATCATATCTCTACTTGGGCACAAAAAAAAAAAAAAAAAAAAAAAGGAAAAGAAAAAAAATCACAAAAGAAAAAAAAATCTCCACAAAAAAGATATATATATATATAAATCTCTCTATATATATACACACAATATTTTTAAGTAAAAATGCTGTTAGTCTTTGTTGTGTGTAGCTGCGATTTTTTTCTTAGTTCCAGATATAACTGTTTAGGGTGCAAGGCCTCACATTGAACTGCTCTTAAGAGAAGTTCAAAAACTGAGGAATTTTTTTTTTATGTTTGTGGGGTTTTTTTAAACAAAAAAAATATTATTAAAAGAGGCTTCTCCTCCCCCCCCTTCATGGTTTATCTAAAATCTGAAAAAGAGGAAAAAAAAAACCCCAAATTTTAAATTTCAGTTCGGTTGTAAATCTGGATGCTCCTTTCTTTGTTCAGACAGACCCCCTTTGGTTTCCTTTATTGTGACTAAATTTGCAGTGCCGTCCTGCCCCCTCCCTCCCCTACACGGCTGTCCCCTCAGGTCCTCCCTGGTGGGAAGGAGGGCGGAGGAGAGGCGCAGAGAGCCGGGCCATCCAGGAAGCACTCCGCACAGAGCACACCCGGGCCTGGCGAGGACCAGCCCTGCCCGCCTGCCTCCGCCCTTCCAAGGGCGGGGCCCCTCGGTAGTTAATTGGGAGTTCCGATCTGGTCAGAGGTGCTTTTCCTTTTCATTCTGCTTCCCTACCAAGGGCTTAGCTCACTGCTTACTCTGCAGAGGCTGGAGGAGGTGAGGCCATTTGAGGGGGCCGTCCCCATCCCCATCACCCCCCACCCCGCGCCCTCCCTGTGCTTGCTGGGGTCCCAGCTCTTGTCTGCCTCAGCTCCGGGTCTCCTGTGTCTGGAGCCTTGTGGACGTCGGTCACCAGAGCGGTCCTTGACGCTGTCCTCCTTGCAACCCTCTGGGACCTCAGCCACCTGGCTTGTTTGTCTGTTCTTGGATTTAGTTCCTTTCTCTCTTTTATTCATTTCGACACCGTCACTGATTTTAGTTTTGCCACCTCTGTTTTACTGATGCACATTCAGTGTGTGTGTGCGTGTGTGTGCGTGTTTACATGCAACTGAGAAAACTGCTGATGTCCGCTGACCTGGAGCGCCAAAAGTGGGGTGACTACTTCCAACTCAGGGAGGGCCCCCTGGGGTCTTAGACGCTGGGAACAGATGAGAAGCTTGTGGGCTGTTTCAGGAAGCCTTTCTCTCAGCCTCTGTTGGACTGGGCCCTGCAGGACTTGGGTGGGAGGGCACCTGTCTCCCCGACATGTTATTCCCCACGCCCTCCAGAGTGCTAGGTCCTCTCCTAATGATGAAGAGATGCAGCAAGGAGCATCAGCAGGGAAGTCCCGTTTTGCAAAGAGATAGAAAAAGGAAGAAGTCAGGAGAGAAGTGGAGAACACGGTAGGGACGGAGGGAAACATAAGAGAGTTTTCATCTGTCTTCTCATTGTCAACAGCCTCCAGCAAGTCCCCAGGTTTCCAATCACTGGGAAGCTCTCTCTCCATGGTCTTCCCTCCCCCATGGTCTTCTCTCCCTCACCAGTGTGCTTCCCCTTCAGAGGCTACCAGCAGCTGGTCAACCCTGGGTGTCAGGGTGGGAACCCACACAGAATCTGTGCCCCATGTCCATCCCTGGGAGGTCTATGTCCAACCAGGAAGACTCTGGTCAGTGCACCCGGTGAGAAGTGATGGCCTCAGCCCACCCTGGGAATCTCATCTTAGCAGCCACTTGCCTGACCCCTGACCAGCCCCTTACAGACAATGAGACACCAGCTCCTGCTGCCCCAGCTGCTCCCCAGGGGGACACTTACTTATTTTTAAAAAAAATCTCTGGGTCCACTTCTTGTCCAGGAAGGCCTGATGAAAGCTAATTAACCATGCTCAATGTTTCATTCTGGTAGGAGCTAAGCACACTGTGACCAGGAGCTAGAGAACAAAAGAGGAAGCTATCTTTCCTCATTATGTCTCCATCGAATATGCCCACAACCTCCTGCAGAAAATCTGGTCCTTCTTTTCATCCTCTGCAATATGGTGGCAGCTCTGAAATCGGGCTGATTTGGGGAGCATCATTTCTGTAAGTTCTGTTTCCCCCTTGCTTGGTAGGTCTGTCTTTTCTCTGGGCCTCTGTGTGAAAGGAAGCCTCAGTCCCCTCAGATAGTGTCAAGGCGACATCCCCCGAGCTCACTGTCACAGGCCGGTGACATCCTCAAACGGGAGTGTTGTCTCAAGCCTGATGAGGGAGCTAAGAGGATTTAAACTCAACAGAAGACCCCCACTGACCTTACCCACCCCCAAAGTTTCTCATTTCTCAAATATACTCCTCCATTCTGTCTCCAGAAGGTTCCACTTGCTCTGTCGGGTCAGACTTATCCAAGCAGGCTGGGCACCAGGGGTGCTAGGAGGAGCAAGCTCCATCCCTCTTGGTGGCATGTGTGCCAACATGTCCCTCTTGAGTCAAGAAAGACAACATCTTTTTGTGGCCCAGGCGCTCCTCCGTCCCTGCGAGGTCCCCCACACTCTACCTCCCCAGGCACAAAATCACCCAGGACACCCCGGGGGCCTAACCCATCCCCTCCACGGCCACAGACCCTGTGAGTCCTGAGGTGGCTTAAAAGAGTACAAACACCCATCTGGACCGTGGTCGTGAGGGTGGTCCCACTGCCGTGTGTCAGGTCATGCTGGAAGCATCAGACCCTATCCAGATAGGAGCCTCATTCTCAGAGAGAAAAATCTACAGGCTTTGAAAAGCGCAAGATGACATCACTTTCTCCATCGTTTCTCTACTTTTACCCCCTCCCACACGGTCACAGGGGCAGCAGAAGAGGTTTCTGATGCTACTTTGTTCAGAGAACCTCTAAACGGGCGTGGCCTCACTGTGTACACCGAGACCCCGCCTGGCAGCGTTTACCCGCCTGCTGGAGGAAGCCAGCTTCCTCCTCCCCTTTCTGTTCTGCTCCTTGCCCCTGGGGGTTGGGGGAGCTCTAACGAGCCCCAGGCCCTAATGCCCCTGGATTGTGGCCAGATTTTCCCTCTCCTTTGCTTAGGAACAGAGGTAAGCAGAGGACAGCTGTGTGCAGGCTCAGAGCCTTT